GCGAGGACGTTGCCGCAGCGCGTGCAACGATGCACTTTGTCCTGGAGACCATCAAAAAGCCACGCTTAGTTTACCAGCATTCCAGGCAAATCTACAAGATGATCGTACCTGACATCCACGGCACAAAAATGGGACCCAAAAGAATGGCCAGCAGATAATGCATAGCAAGATGGATGAGCACCAGGCTGCCATGCCCGGCATACGTGTCACGCTGGTAATTACATATTGCTGATCGAAGGGGCACCACATCCTGTTCAAGATTCGCATATTCCGAGTTAATAACCGTTCATTCATTCATTGCCTCAGGTCGTTCACGTGCTATTACCTAACAGGATGGCGGTCGCTCACGTACACGACTCCTTGCCTTACTTCATATGGAACTTGCGCATCTCCTGCGGCTGCGTACACTTGGCGATTCGCGTACGGCGCAACTCTCAGCTGTTCTCCGCCAAACAAGGGTGTGTACTCATCCACCACCACATAATCCGCTTGCTGTTGCCGCTGATGTTGCTGGACGTATCCCGCGGAGCTACTGCCAGAAGCACCTCCGGTAGCTGTTGTTGTTGCTGCTGGTTGTACCGTATGCGGCGGTTGGTGCGGGGCCGTATAAGGCGGTGGTGCCGATGGATAGGCAGATCCTTGTCCCTGTCCTGCACTGACGTTCTTTTCGTTTCCTGACATATTCCTTGTATCTCGGTTCGTTTTCGTGCGTCTTGCTTCCTTCCTTTTAATGCTCAACAAATCCTATAATAATGAGGTTCTGTGCCAAGAAGTGTGCAGTGGTTAGTCTGCGAAATAACTGTCAACGCACAGCCTGGGGTGTGAGAGAACGCGTCCGTGTTCGCAGCCCTGACGAACGTATGTCACGCGCGCAAATCTCGACTGACGGGCTGTAAAAAGCGACCTTTGCATGTAGCCGCCATTATAGGGCAGTACCGGATTAATGGAATTAAAGGACTTGCGTAACGACACACTGGCCTAAACGAATTCCTTCCTGGTGTTTGTTCTCCCTACATGAACTGCACTATCCTTGTAACAAACCACAACGCATGGCTAGAGCCCGTAACCTTCCATACTATGGTACTGGATCTGGCCCACCTCTCTCGGCGTTCTGCTCCAATTCATTCAGTGCAAAGGTCCAAAGAAACCGCCCTGAGGCAGCTCTCGGCTCTCCGCGCAGGTCACGTGCAACTACATTCAGAGCACGTGACTTTCACCACGGATCCGATGTCGTGTGTTCGGGTAAAAGTCTTCCTTTGTCTGACATTTCATAAGTTTGGCCATCAGCAGCAATCAGCGAGCAACTGGAAGGGACGAGCTGTTGCACCATTCGGCCGTAAATACCGACTTTCTTTCTTATTGCGATTGCAAGCGAGAAGTAGAGTTCTGCTCATGCGCCAGCGACAACGGACGGACGACTGCAGCTTTTATTGTCCATAAGGTGCGTTGCAAAAGTGGGCGAACATGGGAATCTGTTTGAAGAAACGGATGGTCTCGGGAGGAATACATGCAAGTTCTTGCTAGTTACCACAGACGGGATCGACGCATGTCTTACCCTGCAGGGACATTTTAGAGGACAGGAACTTTTTTCTCGAGGGTCGCGTCCGACTTCCATCCCGCGTCGTTAAATGGCATTTCGCTCGGGAATTTGAAAAGGCGGGACTGAATGGAATTCATAGGCAGCAAACTAAATATCATTTGTCTTGACCATTCTAGTCGTTCCTAGCCACGCGTCATGGAACCGTCAAAGAAACGACCCCTCTCTCCGGGTGCTGGGACATCAAAGCAGAACTCGTCCAGTTCTCATCACTATATCAATGATCCCTCTCTTTCCCTTCCGTCCCTTACCCATACCGCATCATCAGAGAGATTCAATCTACCGCCGCTGTCGTCGTTGACACAATTCGGCGGGCCTGTTCTAACACCTCCCATCCACGCACATGTGCGTGGCAGTTTGGCAAATGGGTCGCCTTCCCCTCAAAGTAGTGCCAAGAGGTTGCGTTTGGATGATACGGTAGCGGCGGCAGAGCGTGATCGGCCTAGCTTTGGCAGCCCTGGAGCTGCTGATGTAACCGCTCAGCAGCGACGGCTTTCACTGCACTCCAGTGCTGAATTACCTGGTTAGTTACTATATTGGCACGCATGCTTATTCAACGAGGCCACGACCACTATTCCAGTTTTCTAACGGTTGCTTTTGTAGATATCGCCGCATTGGCAGCTTTGACCAACAGGTCGGGGCATAAGTTGCCTCCACCGCCGCGATCAATGGTTCCGCCTGTTAAAGCAAACCCACAAGCCAATAACAACCGACTGCCTGTGCCATATTCTAATCCGAGCTCTGTACCGCACATGCTACCTTCGATGCCCGCGTTTAATTCAAACGAATCACTACCGAAACGGAGTAGAAACTCCCCCACTCCTCACGGTGTTGTTGCAGATCCCAGCAGGTATGGGCCCCCCATGATGGGTGTCGGATATCCACCAAATATGAATGTAGCCAATGGAAAGGTGAACTCGTCAGTGCCGGTTTCTATGCCGTCCATGACTCATGGAGGGATGCCAATGCCGCGGCTAAACTTTCCGCTACTTAATGCGAGCTCTCCGGTAAGCAAGATACCCAAACCTCCTCCAGTTCCTGGTTACGGGAGGGAGATGGCAATGGCTCCGGGGAATGCTAGCAGTCCTGCTGGTCTTAACAGTATGTACAGGTCTGGGTTTATTTCGGGATACGGTTCTTACATCTAATTCTTCACGTAGTGGCTCACTATCCGCATTCTGCTTCTACGACAATATCACCATTTAGTTCAGGAGCTTTTGGAGTACCACCTTATGGCGCAAACTACTACACGGACCTTCGGCGCAGTGCTCCCTCGCAGCTGCGACCGCCAAACATTCAGCCGCAGAGAGTGCCGCCGGCCGGACCTGCGAAGAGTCCGGTAATGCAAAGTCCATATCAAAACGTTACGGCTTTGTTGCAAGCTGCTCAAAATGAGTTTGGGACTCGGAGCTCGGACCGGCACGGTGAAGACGACGGTTTTGGGTCAGGTCAAAGGGAAGGTATGGCACAGACAAAGGTGTTGGCAATGCCCCCTAAGACAGAGTTTGAGGCAAAGTTTGAACAAGCTGCGAAAGAAGCGAAACGACGATGTAAGCCAGGTGATGTCGCTGTCGTTAACGACGAGAGGTTGCTGCGAGTTCCGAGGGGATGGCGCGAGAGGTCTTTAGGTGTGTAGCCCGCGTTTTATGATAGTTACCAAGCGCGGCAAAGGCTTCGTTACTGACACGTTTACCCAATTTTTGATTACAGGATACGTAGTATATAAGGGTCCGACCCTGCGTCACCCAACGTCCACGCATCCAGATGATATTCAGTTGTTTCTCCTTCCGCCCTTTGGTCCCGAACATCATTATGCTACCGTAGAAGTCCGAATTCCAGCAAGATGGTTGCTGTATCGGAACAATGTCGCTCTTAGAAAAGGAGCGGTGTGGGGAACGGATGTGTATACGGACGACAGTGATGTGGTTGCAGTTGTGACTCATGCTGGATGGTACAAATGTGGAGATGACCCGCATGCGCGATTGCAACGACAAGCGACTCCGAGTGTGAAAACGGAGCCACCAAGTACGAATGAATCAGTAGTACCTTCGGTTGAGTCTAGGGCGACACCGGCGGCCACTGACGGAATCGTCGACAACGACGCTGCCAGGAAGGAGAAGGACAGGGTTTCCTCGGCTTCTTTTCCGACACCTCCCACCCCAGCCATATACCGTCCGCTTGCCGCGTCAGCTGCTTTGCCCGACCACGATTTGATTGTTACATTACGCGTGCTTCCACGGCTAGTCAAGTACACTGGCTCGCTTCGTAATGGTATACACAGTCGAGGTTGGGGCGGAGGCCACGATGGAGAGAGTATCAGGGTTGAAAAGGTTGAAATGGTTGAAAGGGGGGTAGAGAAAAAGGGACGTGGAAACGGTGTCAAGCAGTGGCTGGAAGGGGTAAAGGAGTTTAAATTACGTACTACACGATCGTCTGATGATAATGATGATAGCGATTTTGGACGTAGCAGGAGTGATTTTGATGAAGGAAGAAGTGATACCTCGCAGTATAACGGGCATGACGAAGACGAGGAGGATGACGGCCATGTAGACGGTGCGGAAGGAAACAAATGGATGCATCAGTATGCGGAGGATGGATGGCCTGCTTCGGAACCTGCGGAAGGCTTTGGCGGTGTTACCCTCGTGTGGAGTGAAAATGGCGAAGCATGGTAAGTCCACGCAGGATGAATCGTTTCGTTTTGATGTCCACGTAGCTAACTATATCGTCCTTTTTGCGGATAGTTTGAAGTATTCTCCGCGCCTGTTGGTCAACTGGCCGCCATATCTACATGAGAAATCATTCAACGGAAAAGAAGTCCCGTTGGCCACACCCAATCGACCTACTTTAAGCCCAGCGGCATGGAAAGAGCTCCTATCATCACGGCCGTACTGGTGCATCAGATTAGGGTACTATGAAGACACCCTTGTCATGGATACTGCCGATCAGGAGCGAGTGGAGATAGCAAAGAAGCCGTCAGCAGTGGAACGGGAGATATATGTTATAAAACGTTTGGGAGGGACAAGTATTTGTGTCGAACCGGAAAGGATTGCGTTCGACGAAGATGAGTGTGTTATAATGGGGTCTGACGGCGCCGTGGAGCGCCGTTTCCCGGTTGTACGATTTTTTTGGAAGCGACAACAAAAGGATCGTGAAGAATCAAGCGTGGGTTAGTAGGAAAATCGCCCCTGGTTATGAACATGGTACCGCGAGTCCTAGTGAGACCTAGTGATTGCGAAAGTGTATATGTACGGTGCGTTTAATTTATGGAAACGAGCGAACGAGTCACAGCATATATTTTGTTTGTCCACTTCCAGCAGACCATTCCCCAGCCGAAGTGCTTTGGTGCGTCCACTGATCCTAACTCCGCAATATGTATTATCTTGTACTGTAAGGTATCAAGAAAGGGCTTATGGCCAAATGGGAAGGCGCCTGACTACGGATCAGGAGATTCCAGGTTCGATCCCTGGTAAGCTCGTTTTTTGGCTCAGCTATTGTTAGGAACCGTGGGAAGCGGAAACGAAGATTAGCCGCCTCCTTGACCAGGAAGCAAAAGATTTCCACGGAAGTGAAGCAAAAACGCGTTAGCGAAGTGACAGGGAAGTTTCCGCACAGAAGGCGGGGCAGTTTTTTGCGAGAGTCAAACCCAAAATACGCGTGGGACGAGGAATGAGGGTGGGGCCGCGACGAGGGGCGGGCAAAAGGGCGTGTGCGAGAGGTTTTGGGACACGCCCTTCTACACTCGGAACAGTTTTATTCCTATTTATATACCTCCCTACTCCCCCATAATCAATGAATAATGGGATTTGGGAGGGAGAGAGCGAAGTGATGAATGATGAATAGAATGGGAATCATAGTAAATGAGCAGAACATAAAATGGAGAGAATGCGAGTGGCCATCGCTTCGCTACGAGTAACGAGTAACCAGTAGTACGAGTGCATGTGCATGCGCTTGTAGTCTTGCACACAAACACCGCCGCTACTCCGTCGTCACGGACACAACCGCCCCCGCGACACATTTTCAAAGGAAATCGCCAATTTTCAGAGGGAAATCGACCGAGATCGAAAACAATTTCTGGATTAGTCACGCCCGGTTTTTCACATTAGCCCCTCGTCGTCGTCGCCCCTTTTGCCTTTGGAGAATTCCCAACTGGACACATCACCACCACCACACCATCGGGGCATTTAAATAGAAAAAGGGGGAACAAGGCCCCATTTGCCCCTTTCGCCGTACGTATTACTGGACGACTTTAACCTGGAGGACGCATAACGTTGCTGGCCCAATCCACCTGGACCTTCTATCCTTGAATGGCCTTCTGATTTTGAAAACACACAAAGTCTCGTCATCTATTATCCTCCGCCGTCACCAGTCGCCTTTCCGCAAGTTAAGCGGAAAAAAGACCGCTCCGTCAGTACAAACGCTACAGACCCACCCACCGCGCTCCTTGGCATAACGGTCACGCTCTCGTTGCCCGTAGCTTCTCAACTTCGCGAACGTCGGCGACACGCTTCCCGACAGTTGTCAGTCGTCTTGGGTGCGGATTACTAGCTCGTTTGCTCCCAAGGCCAGGTTCTGCCGCCGACGTCCCGTCCCACCGCCTACCACGTCCAAGCTAAGGCATACCCCCCTGCGGAACGGGTCTTTTGTACTTGTTAGACATCATCATTTCACGCATCAATCGCTTTCTGCGACTACCGTCACGTGTGCCTCCGTGGCAATCGCCGTTCTCCCGCTCCGCTTCACCATCAAAAAGCATACCATCTGGACAGCCAATGACAGCCACATCGGTCTTTCGGCGACTGTGTTTTTTTCCAACACGGGGATGCGCTCACAACTCTACAGATGACATTGTCTGCTCTCCGCTATGCCGATTTATCAAGGGCACCTTTTTCGCCGTCCTTCCAATCGTGCTATGGCTCGTTCTATTCGTCGGCGCACAATTTATCCCGTCAACATGGCGTCCAAGTATTTCGGTTGACACGCTACCAGCACTCGATGAGCTTCTATTCGTAAATTCATTTGGGTTGCTCTGTTTCAGCGCAATCCTCGTCTCCGCGACATGGTTAATCACTGGGTCACCTATATCCGCATTAGTAGTGTTTGTGCCACTCGTGCTACGAGGGTTACGGGATGTTGCCCAATTCCAATCCACGGCGGCTGATGTTCTTGCCTTTCTACCATATGGTGTGCTACACTACCTTTCGCCAGCTTTATTTGTTTTGTGGCTCTGGTGGTATGCTGGAATCCAGTCAGGAGTGGTGTTTGCTCAAGCGTTTGGCGTGCAAAATGTCTTGGGTGTTCTTACTCAGCTTGTTTTCCCAACGGCTGCTCCATGTACGTATGCACCCGCCTGAACATCGGCTCGCCTGTTTACTGTGAACTGACATCCGTTTTCCGCTTATAGGGTACAATGACAAAAATGGCTTCAAAGCAGCAGATTACTCTATGCCTGGTGACCCAGCAGGACTTGCTCGTGTAGATGACCTTTTCGGCACAAACATGTACAAGAGCGCATTCAACAACTCCCCACTCGTTTTCGGCGCGATGCCATCGCTCCACTCCGCATTTGCCGTATTGATCATGTTCTTTGCCATGCACTTTAACCGAAAGCTTGGGTCTGTCATGATGGTGTATATGTGTTGGCAATGGTGGGCGACCATGTACCTACGTCATCACTATATGGTGGACCTCACCGTCGGCGGTATATATGCCGCCGCTACGTACGGCATTGCACGTCGATTCCTGACAAGACCGAGCCTATGGGTTTTGAATGGGGATGGCGAGTACCGGCTATTGGATGTGGAAGGAGGAGAGGCGGATAAGGCAAGGACATCAGATGCCGGCGGATGGTGCGAGAGCATATTAAAAAGCCGGCGAGCAGCCAGTCAGGATCGCGCAGCAAGGTCGGAACTTGCGCAGTTGGATTCTGTAATCGTTGACGAGCGGTAAACCACGTATAATTCACTGAATATGTTGTAATAGTATGTAGCTACTCTTTAGGACTTTATAATATTGGAGTTTGCTTCAGCTGTTGTCCGGCAGTTTTTTTTGTTTTTTTTTTTTCATGCACAGATCACCCGTAGTAGGTGTTTATCAATCTGGTGGATGAGGCTTCGCTATCACGTTCGCGACGTTGGTGAGGCTGATGTAGGGTGGATGTCTTCCTCAGAAAACCATGTGGAGTTCCCAGTCTATAATCGCAAGTGTGACCTTTCTATGAAGTAATAAGAGGGTGGTTACAGTTGGATAATCACAAGCGTGAACGATATCTGAAATGATAGAAAGACAGAGCATGGTAAGTCTGCATCCAGGTTTCCAGGATGCAGCGAAAGTGCGATATATATAATCATCTATTGCAATTGTAGTGCTGGTGGCCAAAAACACAGGGATCAACGTAAATACAAGACATCTCTATATAAATAAGTGTCACTTGTACAATATGCGTCAGCGAACATCCTCTGATACGACATGAGTGAATTGCCCAAACTCCGAAATGCGACCCCTCCAACCCTCCTCGCCAGATATCTCTCTCCACTCCAGAGTATTTAACCCTCTTTTCATCCGCCCATGTGCTCACATGCCAACTTGGGGTCCACGCGACACACTGCCTTGACCTGATGCGCCACAGTCCTTAGGGTATTCAAAACAACAGTATTCCCTTCAATAAACCCGTAGGTGTGAAACGGGAGATCATGCTTCTTTGCAAAGGATCGGACCAGTGCGCGAGTCTTGCGGAGATTGTGGCGAGGAAGACGGGGGAAAAGATGGTGCTCTACTTGAAACTGCGACCAAAGAATAATTGTTAACGACTCTGAAGCCAAGAAACAACAGCGAAAGTTAAAGCGATAGTTACCTGCAAACCTCCATGGAACCAATCCATCCAAGCGGGGCACTCTACATCCATTGTGGTTCTCAACGCCATTCCAGCAAAGGTCTCTTCCTCATGGACATCAACAGGCATTCCATAGTGGCTCAGCGTGATTTGTAAATGTAAGAACATGGTCGAACAATAACTGATCAGGATATAGGCAATACGCCACTTCCACTCGGGGATGTAGGAAAGCAGTGGGAGAAACCAACACCAATGCAACGTCATGCACACAATTTCCAGAGTGCGGTGACGAATACAACGAGGTGAGAGGACGTGTGTCCAGGAAAGAGCATGAAGGTTGAATCGCCCAAAGCACAGGACAATGTAGTACAGGTAGTGCTGTATGGAAACCAAAAATCTGGCGGGTGCGTCAAAGACTAAGGTGCGATTGTAGTAAGTCGAGTGGATATCCTCGAAAAACTTTGTGGTGATGGCAAAGAAAGGCATGAGTTGAATATCCGGGTCATGATGAGTTGAGTTTGTCTGAATGTGGTGAACATTGTGGGAGTGTTTCCACCAACCCAGCGAGAGTCCGCCGAGAAAGTTGCCGAGGCAAATACCGGTGCGCATGTCTGTCGCGGAGTCGTGAGTAATACCCGAGTGGCCAGCGTCGTGAGCGATGAACGCAGACTGGTGCCTGCGAAACATTCTGTTTAGCATACTTATAAGTTTTTGAGTGATGAATGAAATACCTACCACAATGTCGCAGCACACAAGGCAGAAGCAACGTATGCGATATTGCACTGTCCCTTCACGACCAAGGCCACCATGGCGCCCCATAGCAAGAATAACTTGAGCGTTTCTCGTGCGTAGAACCAGTAATTTGTGTCGTATAATCCCTGCTCTTTGAGCTGCGCATTCAATTTTCTGAAATCTTCAGAAGCTTCATTGATGATCACATCTTCCGGAGCCAGTCTACCGATGCAATAGTGGGGCATCCGCGTCTTGATGGTTTCTTCCGGATGGTACGCCAGTACTGCATCAGTGGCGTCTTTACCTACATACACATGTGGCGTAAGCCCATAATATTGAAAACTAGCGCACGGATTCCAACTCACCCTTCATGTGCAATATAGCAAGGTCCCCACCGGGATGGACCTTGAGAAACTTGGTCAAGTCATATACCTTGTGGTCGATGATGACAAGGACGTCGCCCTTTTCGCCACGCTCGTCGATGTCAGCGCGAGTTAAGATACAAGCTTCCCTCTTGGCGGTACGGCGAGCAGCATTCTCAGCAGCGATCCGCTTGCGAGCGACGACATCGGTCTGACACATCCGATTGATGTGTTATATATATCTATATAATATATATATATATATCTATGCAAAGCACCCTGCTACAAAACCTAAAGCAGAGGCAAAGCAGCTTGAAGCAGAAGAAGAAAGGAGCAGAAGAAGGAGGAGCAAGAAGAAGGATGGGGATGATCGACACAAGTACAACGGGGTCCAACGCCCGAACGAGTGCGTCCTAAATTAGGTGCGCCCATTTTGTGAGTGGGGCTGTGTTGTTGTTGTGTTTGGCTGTGTTTGGATTGGGTGCGGGGGCGCTGGTTGCTTATTGCGGACGCAAAGTGTCTGTGTATGTGTGTGTCTTGCGCCCATTGATT